GGTGAGCTCCCTGATAAGCAAAAATTTTTCAGGTAAAAGTGTCACCGTTTTTGAAATATTTTAATTTTTTTGAATTAAAGAAAAATCGTGCCTTTTCATGTATTTTCTTTAACTGCATCTACAAACAAGCCTGTACTTAGTAGATTTTTTATGTAAAATACTTTCAGATAGTTGCTTCTCCATACTCAAATGCAATGTAGTTAAAATACATTAAGGAACCATTATAAAATTAGGACCATATTGTGATTTTTAACTTTTTGATATTTTCTTCCCCAGCTTTGACTATCTCTGGTGAAAGCAGATGTACTGAGCTATAACTACCCTCGAACTTTTACATGTTCTTTTGCATATGAAAACAAATGATTATTTTTGGAATAAGTCGAATCTTGAATTGCCATTTTAGTAGTAATAACCTTATTTAAATACCCATATTGAGCAGAATAAATGTATTTGTTTATAATATTTTTCAAAGATTTAAGTATTGTATGTATACAAAAACTAAAAACTACAGTAAATGTTAAAAAATAACCAAAATGGGAAAGATCTTAACAACTTCACAGGCAAGAAAAAAATAACCAAAATTGGTTAAAAGTAACCAAAACGGCAACACTGAGTGTTGGATAATTCTTGCTGGATTTTCGACGAACAAACCTATTTTCAAAACGTTCGCGTTGACTTTGGCGTTGGCGTTGGTTTGACAGAACGCACGTTAAAAGTATGCTTGTTACACTGAACGCTTGGCAGCGAATCCTTGGGCCACTTAATTAACATATTAACGACAGTTAAATTAATATTTCATATCAATAATTGCATTAAAAACGATATTTCTTGCCCGCACTTGATTAAAAAGGAAAAATATTTCACATAATTTTATTTATTTGCAACAGCTGACGAGCGACGCACGCGAAAATTTGGGAGTTGGCCATCTTTTTGCTTTGTGTTGGCGTGAGCGTTGTCGAATTGTGGCTATGTGGACGGCTGCATTTGAATTCATGTATTCATAGTCAGCTGTTGAAGCGACGCCAACGCCAACGCAACGCCAAAGTTCTATGTGGACGGGCCTTAAGATTTCATTATTGAAATCACTTATGCTTAAGCTGGGTGGAAAATAGGCCGTGCATACTAGAACATTTGGATTTAGGTTAATAGTTTGAACAATAACCACATCAAAATCAGAGTTGTGGTTAATCTTTTGTATTTGATATTGCGTTTGAGAGAGATTGCGTCTCCCCCATAACCATCGTCGCGGTACTTTTTGATAGTGTTGTAGCCTATGAGTTTTCTGTGAGATGCATTGGTCGCGAGAAAAATTTCGTTTAAACATAGTGGCCCGTAGTCATAGTCAAAATAAAGTCGACTTTAAAGTTAGTTGCAGCTTTTTGACATAATTTTCAATGGGATATCTGTAAAAAAAGCTGCAACTAACTTTAAAGTCGACTTTATTTTGACTATGACTACGGGCCATTATATCAAATACCAGTTTGTCAAGGTAAAATTGTAATGGCCGGTTTCTCAGTTCGTACTTAAGTTATGCTTAAGATAAGGCAGTGAAATAGTGTTTCACAGCACGTGCTTAAGTTATGCTTAAGCAGTGAAAATCGGAGACTTAAGCGTTGTTAAATAACAGCTGATTTTCGTTCTGAATTTTTGGCAGAAGTGAAAAAAATATGTAAAATAAGAGATTGTTTTCTGAAAAATAAAATATGCAATCAGATTGGGAGTGTGATTTTGATAGTGATCCAGAATACGATGAACTGTGGAATGTTGTTATAATGCGACGAACAAAAGAAATCAGATCCCGGCCACAATTCTTCAAGTTATTTGACGAAAAAGATTTCCGTGATCGATTTCGGATTAGCAAAGAAACCGCCTGGAATGTGCTCAGTTGTATTCGAGCCGAAATTGAGCACAAAACCAAGTGGTAAATCTAATTTACTTAACGCGGCTCAGTGATATTTACAATTTTTGTATAGGAATAGTGCACTATCGCCAGAACAAATGTTTTTGCTTACGCTCCGCCTTTATGCTACCGGAAGTATGTTGAGGACAGTGGGAGATATATTTGGAGTGTCTAAAAGTACTGTGTC